ATTTACTCTGCTGGGGCAGCCGCTGATACTCATCTAGGTCTACGGTCGTCTTCGGAGTCTTCATGGGCTTCGGCTGCTTCATCTTCGCGCTTGTCAGGGCGTACGCTCCGAAGCTCACGATCATGAGTGTCTTCGGCACGAATTGCTATCGACATATTCTGCGTGAGTGAACACTAGCATATAGCGACTTTATCTTACACTCTTGTCCTCTACAGAGCTTCGGTCCGCTTTTCCCGGTCGCACAGTACACCCTCCTCAACTCCATGCTGACTTCGGTCGCATGCTACATTGCGATCGCGCTGGTGTTCATCACCTTCGCATTCCCGGAGACGCTCAACCATTCTTACCTAGCGTTTTCGGCGGAGCTCCTCGGCAAGTTCCAGGGTATTCTAGCCATGCAGGAAGAGGTGTTGCGGACTGACCCGCATGACATCGTCACCGGCACTCCCCTTGCCACAAAGACAGCCATGGCGCGTACTGGGATGATCATGCAGCTTCAGCAGCGTAAGTATTTCGGAAGGGTTTGGACGCAAGGGCTGCAGCTGACTCATGCTGGACAGTGATGGGCCAGAAACAATTCCTCAACCTCGAGTTCAGCTGGGGCAGGTGGAACGGCGACGATATCAAGGACATGCTTGAGCCGCTGCAGATTGTTGCGACGCGCCTAGGTGCCCTGAACGGCTTCGCGAAAATCATGGGCCATCCCCTCTCGCTCGCGGATCACAAGCACGAAGATACCGAGTCTGTGTCGGAGGCTCAGTCAGACGCCAGTGGCACCGCCGTAGACGACACCTTCCTCCTCCGCCAATTCCGCGAGCGCAACCTGGCCGCCGAGGAGGAGCACGGTGTGCGCCTCATCGACGTCCTCCCCAACATCCGCGACGCAACCACCGAACTGCGCGCCGCGGGCGTCGCCACGCTCGCCTCGATTCAAGCCCTCATCGTCGCCGTGAACACGCACCGCTACAAGCGCGGCAACGCCCTCCAGAGCACGCGGCTCGCCGAGCTCGACACCTCGCTCACCGCGCTCCGCGCCGCAATCGCAGACTTCAAGGCGGACCGCCGCTTCATGCTCCTGCAGCCGTACCAGGCCGTGTTCGAGAAGCACGACGCGGGCGCGGTGAACCGGATCCCGCTGCGGGCGCTCTACCAGTCGTACGTGTTCGCGTCGAACTTGACGGTCGTGTGCACGGGGATCGTGCAGCTGGCGGAGCTGGCGAGCCAGACGGCGGCGAAGCGGACGCGCGCGCGGCTGTGGGCGCCGAAGGGGCTCAGGGCGATCGTGAAGCTGCTGCGGACGCCGAACGGTCCAGGGGAGGGTGCGGTTGGTGAGGACGTGCAGCCGGAACAGGCGGAAGGTCGGGATATGGTAGTGTACATTGTACGGTCCGAGCACAAAATATATTTGGTGTCATGGCCGACAGCGGGTGCCTGATCTCGAGGAAGGATCAGGGCACATTTGAAGAATTAGAGCGTACCTCTGGTGGTTTCGTAGGTAGTAGTTTCACAGGTGGTGGTTTCGTAGGTAGTAGTTTCGTGAGGCTTCGTTTCGTGCGTAGTGGGCACGAGTTTCCGAGCCGCGAGGAGTCGTTTTATAGGGGGCAGTCTCGCAGCAGGGAGGCGGGTGCGGGAGGCAGACTCGCAGATGGGAGGTAAGCAAAACACATTGATTAGCACTTGCACATACGGGCCACTACTCGAATTAAGTACTCGTCCGTCCGGGGAACACGTCGAACATGTTGAGCCGTCCGCCTTCTCGTCTGCGGCAGAAGCTGTACTGCTCATCCGCGCGTCTGCGCCCTCCTCCGCCCATGCGGCCGCCGCAAAATGCTGTGACGCGTGCACATTCGGCCGCGTCCGCGAAGCTGGGCCCTCGGAGGCGTACAGAGTTTACCGTGCCGACTACGGACTCTTGCCTGCTCGCAACCTCTCCCGCCGTCGTCTCAGAACCGAAGCGGCCAGGCTGTGGGCAAACATGCCCTGTGAATACCGTCAAACACCGCGAGATTGAGGGAGCAGCCGCACGCACGAGCACGCGTTGATCTCGCAAGATTGATACTCACCTCAATATGATACCCCGTCGCTGCATCCGCCGCCGCGTAATGTGTCTGCCCCACCCACGCGGGAGCCCGCAAAGTGGTGGCGTCCCGTCGCGACCAAACAGCGGAGGCACACATGTGCTTGATCCGTGCTCGCTCCCCACTACTGACCGAGTCAGTGCCGCTCGAAGCACCACGAGACCTCTAAAACAAAGTCCATACCCTAGTATACACATGCTATGAAGGCGGCGCAAAGATCGTCCAAGGTTTGTCGTAGGTAGTACTTGGGCCACGTGGAATCTGGATACCCAGACGTCTTTGTGCGATGTACACGGCATCCCTTGCGATGTCAGCGTCGTGGGCGAGCACCGCGGGGTCCGAAGGCGTGTCCGAATGCCCGTCCGAGTCGTCCACCATAGCAGCTGTACTACCTGTCATCGGATATGCGCGCGAGGAATCCGAGGATGTGTGCAAGACGATGTCCCTGCAACCTGGCTGAGATGGCGCTGCAGCCCGTACGTCGACACGAGCTGCCGGCCGCGTGGGGGTGTCCCGTCTCCAGTCCGCGGGGTGCTGAGCAGCCCTGCGTGCGCGCAATAGATCGAAGACGCGATGCGCGTACACCGTGTGCTCCGCTATGAAACTCGTAGGTAGATTCAGTGCGTAACCCTTCAAACACGCAACCATGAGAACGTACTCGTGACTCCGTCATCATGCGACCATTTCGTTGCCCCGGCAGCTGCCCGGGATAACGAGGGAACCAGAAATGAAGACGAAGCTGTAGGGGAAGAAGTGGCATTGACTAGAGAGGAGGGACGTGAGCAGAGGACGTACGAGCAGTGCGGGCGCGAGAAATTTGTTCATGTCTATGATCGTGCATGCTTGGTGCCGAAGTGGAGGGTCAAAGGGCACTCTATCCTCGCACTGTCTGTCAAATTGGGTGCATGATTAGTTAATCAATCTCCTCAAAACAGAAGGGCCTAACTCACAGCAGTTTGCGTTATCTATTCAAGCATGAACACTCGGAGCGGAGTGTCATCCTTCCCGCGAGTTGCACAGACCGGCTCCAGGGCCAGCCCACGTTGGCGGCTTTCGACGGAGCTCGCGAGCCTGTAATACATATGATAGGAGTACACTAATGTATACCAACACACACAGACCAGAGGCAAGCTGCGCGGCGGCTGCGTCCTCAGTCTGGCCCACGCGCGCAAGGCTGAGGTCCGAGTTGTTAGTGGCATAGCGGCCCAACGAAGTGCATCGAATGTTAAATACAGAATATAGCTACCGTTGAGCCCATGCCGCGTGATCTCTGCCGCACGCCCCTTGCGGAAATCGCGTCGAGCTTGTGATGCAGTCGACGGAGCCGGGCGGGGGAGGTGGCGGTCGAGACGGAAAGGCTCAGCGATGCTCTGGCGCCCAAATCCTGTTGACCGAAAGAGGCAGCTCGCGTGGTTCGGAGCGCCTGTCGATGTCTCGTCTCTACCTCCACCACTCGCCCGACGGCTGCGATGCTAACTGCGCAAATCAAGATGCAAAGTATCTCATCGGAGCATGCCGTATACTACATGTACAAGAATATCAACACTGCCAACGTACGTGCTTCAAAACATGCCCGCGTATTGCCATCCCTCCATCGTCCCGAACACGTCCACCGGCATCTCCATTTCGAATAGGGCTTGCCCCGCGCCGCCATAGGAAGGTGAGGGTAGGGATGCGAAGTCGAAGGTGGCGCGTACACGGCATC